GCTGGATAGAACAGGTGGAATTTACGCAGCTCATTTACACACTTTTCCTGAAGATAGAAGAGTTTGTTGAATCTGACGTGACATGTTCGTACGAACCCTTCGTACGAACAAAAGTAAGAGAAATTAGGGATAAGAATACGAACATGTTCTTGCATGAGGCCCAATGTCCTTCAACAGTTAAATCAGCTACAGTGTGAAAATGCAGACATATTAATCTTCAGATTTTTAAGAAAAAAACATTAATGAAATTAATTTTTGATTCTTGGCTTATTTCATTGTTGTGTTGAAGAAATTTATTGGGCTTTGTTTACTTACTGATTTTTAAAAGCACCACACATTCCGTAGTTTTTCTTAGGTGATATATGACATGTTATTTATAAATATAAACTATTGTGTGAATACTTTGTGATTAAAATGATATTTTATGTACAGACTGGTCTGGATGGCTAGACAATATGGTCACTCACAGCAGGAGGTATATTTTAATTAGATGCATGCCTGAAAACATTTACAACACACATGTTTTTACATTAGAACTCAGTTTTATCTGTTGTCAAAGGTTTCCATTGATGTGACAGCTTGCCTCTAGGGAGTGGCCAGAACCTGAAGGAGTTGTTGATAAGATGCTGAAACTTCCTGTCTGGGGTGATCTACGACTGATTAAATGGCTGAGGCTATTAACCTTGCTGATGTGTAGTTTGCATGGCTTAAGTTCTTACATTAACATCCAAGTCTTAATTCTGTGTTTGTTGCCTTGTCCTTTACACATATCTGAGTAACGAAACACGATACATTTTACAGTGTCATATATCACCTTTTCTACCTGGATTACTGAGATGCATCAGAACGATTGGAGGAATAGTTAATTTAGGTTGAAATTGAGGCCTTCCTTACTGAAGGCCTCTTTAGCCTCAGATATAAACCCTTATATCTACCCTTTAGTTAAAGCAATAACCCACCCTTTAACTACTACATGTGGTGTATCTAAAACATGATAGCTAACACTCAGAGGTACACATAGGTATAACGTGATGTAAAAACCCAACTTTAGGTTAACCTAAAACCACATAAGTGCAGAAAACATAGTAACCAGAAGGGCACCAACTGGGAAAAACTCAGCCTTCAACACCCTCCACGATGGCCCACCTCCTCTGCCAAGGCTCTACAAGCATTGACACTCTTGACCTGCATCCTTCTGGGGGTACCCATCTTCATGCTGTTCCAGTGGTCTCTTCACTCCTGTTGCTGATCTCCATCGTCGACTCAGAGATCCCAACTCAATCTTTGATCCAGAGATCCCGTTAACCTGCAACCTTCCAGAGATTGACTCTTGAAAGGGGGGGTTCCAGTGCTTTACTTCGCTATGATGTTCCAGAAATTGGTTGACTCCAGATCAGCCACAACAATCACAATGGATTACCCTTGTGGATTATAACTCTTTCTTGGTGGACTACTTTTGCTTCCAGTGGATTACAGACTCTGTCATCCAATGGATTTAAAGTTTTGCCTTAATGGGAGTTACCCACTGACATTATGGAAATCATATATAAAATAAAGAACCTTTTTTAACAAGAAATGAAGAAAAACTCTTGCTATGCAAAGTTCTCAGTTTGGATTACCTTTGGGATTATACTGTTTCAAGTGGATTAATTCAAGGTCAAAGACTTTTGAGATGTTCCCGTTTTGTGTTGCAACTCATCACCACCGAGGGGTGATGACGCGCAAAAGGGGGGATATGTAGGGTTCACCTCACGTGAAATAATCAAGGAAAATGTCTTGGATCTCAGACCTCTGATGGACCTTTAAAGGGACAAAAACTCTGTTCCACTTAGAACTGAATTTAGGCCTTCACAGGTCACCTTAACTTGTCAAAGAGACATTCTCTTTTTCTTAATCTGATAATAAACAGAATAATCTTCTTTTTATTTGATTTATTATTCTCTTAACTGGAAGTTATTACACATTTTGATAATCAGATAATGTTTATCAAAGTTACAGGAGAAAAGAGGACAGATCTCTTTTCTCCCTCAGTTTGATTTCAGCTATGTATGGTTTTTCTGTGCAAAAATCATATTTAACTAAACTAATCTTCATGGTTTAAGTTGATGAAACATCAATGTTTTATTTGTTTTAATCATATTTGCCAATGTTTTGAGTTTGAAGTAATTCATTCTTTCAGCTGTGTTTTTAAAGAGTTATCAGATAATAACTAAACAGGTCATGATATGTTTTGTTTCTGAGCTACCCAGAAGCAATAATCTTTGTTTAGCTTCAGGAGGCGACGGCAAGTCTCTGAGCTAACGTTTTCCATATCTTCCTGTTTTCTAATCTAACCTCTGAAGGCAGAACTAAGAAAATCCTCTTTAAATCACTTACAGTTTCTGCCCGACAGTCAGAGTGACGGAGTCGGAAGGAGACGGACACATTTCCGTTAGCTGTTCCCCTCTGGGAAAACTAGCGTTTTGGCAGAGAAGTTCGTCCATAAGCCAAAGGACCGATCTCTCGGCCCGGCCACATCTACTCCTGGGTGTGAGCCAAATACGAGCTTACCGCTCACAGCAACTTGTTTTTAAATCTTCCTGCCGGAAATTTTATTTTGAAATCGGGATCCAGTTTTGGCTTCGCCTTTCTTCCTACGGCTTGACGCGGAACGAGCAGACGCTGAGAGAATAACTCATGCCAGAGGATAACTACCGAGTTGGAGAATCTAAACTGATTTTCTGTACCAACTGTTGATCTTCCTAAACTACCTGGACAGGTGACAGACATCATCGATAAAGGAAGAAGCTGGCTTTGTTACTAAGTGTCGCTGTTCTGGCCGACACTGAGCAGAGAAATGCCTTTCCTCTCTGGCTAACCCACATTTATTTAAGTTAGAATTTAGGAAAGCTAACACCTTACTTTCCTCCTTTTCTTAAACCTACCTTGCCAAACTAAGTTATTTGCCTCAAATGTCTGGTATTCAACATCTGGTTGACGTTTGTGTTCTATTTAAGTGCTTGATTGACAATTAACGAAGCTCGATACGTGCTTGTTATTGTTGGTTATAAACTTTTATAGGAAATTGATTGCTCACAATTAAGTGTTCTCTAGTAATTTTGTTTTATTATGTATAAAATAAATGATCGCATTTCTTTATGGATCAAATCAAAATTTGCTGACTGAAGCCACTTATTGTTTTGTCTATTCACTTTGCACTGGAAGAATATTTACCAAAAATAAAAAGATCCTTGCTAAAATACTTTTCTTATAACCTTGATATAAGAAGTGTATGTGTGAACCCTACATCTGAATAGATGTTAAAACTTTGCTTTATAAAGTTTTTATAAAATTTCCTTATAGTTTTATTTGACATATTTTATGTGTCAAAGAGAGGGATTGAAGGACATTTTGTAAAGGAACAAATGAATGTTAGATCCAGTATTTTTTTATACTTTCTGATCATTGTGGCCCTAGGTTTAAAACAGAGAATGAGAGTTAGTGTTATCATGTGTTCTTTCTGTCTGCATAAACAAAAGTTGGTTACGTTAATGTCTGACGTGAAAAGGTAACACCTCCAGGGGTGTAACCAGGAAGAGAGGTACATTATAAGGTCAATTCATTATTATAGCGGTTAGGAAGTGTAGTAGTTTTGAGTTGTGCAGAGAATCCCTGCTTAGATTCAGCCTGCTGGGCTGTCTTGTTTGGGTTTTCAGACACGGCCCAAGGCCTTACGCTGAGGCCTGACTGCTGTGCTGTGTACTGCTGTATGAACCTGACTGGAGTCAGATGAGAATAAAGATTTGTAGAAGATATACAAGTGGGTTCTTGGTATTATTCAAACTTCCGTTTTTGAATGCTTTCTTACAACTGAACATTGTTTGAAGGAGAAAAGAAAAAGTTTTTACATCAGATGACTCACTGAACGTACCAGTTTTAAAGATGTTTGTGGAGCTGATTAAACTATATCTCAAGCTACAACAGAGAGATTTAGAACTCATCAGAAATTGGAAACATGTTAAAAAGTTTTTATCAATAACAAATGTTCTTGTGCCCACCTGTGCCCACCCCCAAGGTTTGCATGTAGACACATAGGGTTTTGGGTTAGAGTAGTGGTGGAGGGGAAAATGGCACCACGCCGGCCTCTGCCTCTTCTTCTTTCCTTTTTTTAATTGCTCTATAGAACAACATGCACCAACAGTACATCTGGGGGACGGGGTGTGGGTGTCAGTGTCTTTACTCCCATCCCGTTCCCCAACTGCCATTTGGGGATGGGGTCCCGAAGAAGGGCGGGCTGCCAGGTGCGGTCCTGGGCTGTGGGTGGGCTCGGGGCTTGGACGGTGGCCGGGGGCGGGGCTGGCTCTCCGTCCTCCCTGGTGCTGCTTGGTCTCCTGAGGTGTGGCTCTTGGTTCCTGTGGGTGGCCCCCTGGCCGGGGTGGCTGCCGGGTTCTGGGAGGTGGTCAGCTGGGGGAGTGCACTTGGCCAGTGGCGGTGTGGTGTGGTGGGGTGGGTGTGGCTTCTCTGCGGCGAGGGGCTGGCCGGGCGCCCTGGTGCGGCCCGGGCCGGGCCTTGGCTATCTGCTCCTCTCCACCTCAGAATGATTGGGTCTACCTCCTGGGTTCGGGTGTGTGCTGCCTCCAATGGGGGTGGGTACATGTCCTGGACCTGGGGGAAATAGAGTGTGTATCGGGGGTATGAGTGGAATATGGCGTCCTCGTATGTCTTTGATTGAGTGGGTGTGAGGATGAGGGTGGGATGGTGTGATTGTGTATGTTTGGGTATTTGTCAGGTTGGGGTCTGGGCTGCCCCCCCTGCTGGTTTATCTGGGGGTCCGCTGCTACTCGGCCCCCCGGTGGGGTGTGCGGCTGGCCGCCGGCGTGCTGGGGTCTGGGGCTGGGCGCTGGGGTGTGTGCCGGCCTGGCCTGGTGACTGCCTGCTGGGGCTAGGGACCTCTGGCCCTGTCGGGCTTTGGCCTGGAGGGGGTGAGCCCTGGGGGCCCGGACCTCTGTGCCCTTTCCTGGATCTGCTCTGGTATGGCGGGTGCCGGTGGGGCCCATGAGTTTGTTGCTGCTGGCCCCGGGGGCTGTGCGTGTGGTCACTGGGGGGACTCTCCCAGTTCTCCCCTATGGTCTGATCTGGGGGGTGGGTGGGCGGATCTTCCCGTGCGGGTGCCCCTTGGGGCTCTACGCTCGGGATTCCTCTCGGGCCCTTGGGCTCTGGTCTTCCCCATGTCTGCCTCGTGTCTTGGGGGTCGGGTCTCCGATCCTCCACAGTCACTATTAAATATTCCATTGGAGAAATCTTGTATATACACGCATGTTCACAACTGCTCACAAACAGGTGTTCTGATCCGATGGGTTCTGACTGGTCACTGAGTGTGTGTATATGTCTGTGTGTATATATTTACAATATGTAGGCATGTATGTATGTATATCTTTATATATGTATGGGTATGTGTATATATTTATATATGTCCTCCATGTATTTATCCATTTATTTTTCAGGTGAGCGGACAGATGTTGGGTGTATGGTCCTGTGTTTTGTTGGTGTATATTTAATATACTGTACTTCTAATCTCTATTTAAATCTTTCTAATTACTTCTCTCTTTGTTTTTCCCTCTTTGTCTATTTTCTCTTTACTTAAAAAATCACTGATGATAAAGAAATTAAGAAACTAATATTAAGTTCTTTTTTCTACTGAAGTGATTTAAAAAAATAACAAATGATCTTCTTGTCTTTTACAGCAAAATCTTGATACCAACAATTCCCTGAGAAAGCGGTTGAATTATATTTCACACCAGGATACAAGAAATCATCAGAGAGCCCAGTCCACCACCAATGTTTCAGGCTTGGAAAGAGGACCATCACTGAGGCCTTCAGCTGGTAGAGCCATTGGCAGTTCCTCCACTCTTTCCCGCTCCAGCCCCAAGTCAGAAAGCCTGCTCAGTGTGGCCTCATCCTCTGCCCAGCTGATAAAGGGCATGCCTCAGGCAGCGGCCTCCACTCCAGATGTGATGACGGGGATGCCAAACAAGCAGGATGCCAGCTCCTCGTCTCTGCAGCATCTGCTGGGCCCCAAGCTGGAGCGCCTTCAAATTATGGGAAACAAACTGGAGCCAAATCAAATTTTGTGTTCCCAGCCCACCACTGCCAGCGCTGGTGGAACCAGTAAAATAGACAAATATGCACGAATCCTGTTCCCAGTGTCCTTTGGTGCATTTAACATGGTCTACTGGGTGGTTTACCTGTCGAAGGACACAATGGAGGCCAAAAATGGATAGACGTTGCATAAAGAATCACTATCATCTCTTTTAAATCATGGGGAAAAAATAAGGAATTTATAAGAGTTTGCATTTCAACTAGAAGAAAGTGTTTCACTGACTTTTGTGGACACATTCAGAATGCTTCTATATTTTTCTCGTTAAGGTCCTGGGAGCATAAAAATGGGAATAAATAACCAAAATCTGAATATTGTGACTCAGGATAGGAGCAGCTGCGCATTGGGATGCTCCACCATCCTCTTTATAAATCATATTTCGTCATCTGATTGGAAAGGTCTTCATCAGCTTCAGCCACCTCACAATCCGTGTTGGCGTGCAGCCAACACAAAGCATGGGGATTTAATCATGTTCCTATTTTTGCACAGTTATATTTAATCAAGAAACTGGTTCCCAGCTTGTTGTTAGCTAACAATATGTTAGCTATGTTAGCTATTATTTATGATTTAAAGAGATTGACTGATATGATCTGAGAGTATTTTAGGATTCTTGTGGTGTTGTTGGTGACTTTATGTTGGCATGTAAATGTTGATCTAAAACGAAACTTGATCAGAAAAATTATTGATAACAGCTTTATTGGAGTTTTGCTCAGTGGTAAAAAAAACACTTGTTGTACAGCATCTTCTTGATTGACAAAGCCAAGATAAAAACCAGAAATACATCAGGAAGAACCCATTAAAGATGAGCTCCCAACAGTAGAACTTAAGTTTCTTTCAGTCACTGATTGTGTAAAAGCCTTTAGCCTGTGGCTAAATGTCTGCTTCCAGGTAAAACAGTTGTCTTTTGAAAGTGTTTAGTTTGTTGTTTGAAGCAAGTATTTGAAGCAAAATGCAGCATCTGAAAGATTTAGCATAAACAAAACACTCCCACAACCGACTGACTAATCACACAGTAAGTTCTTATGTGGAGGGAGATAAAAATTCTCTTGGTGGGTTGTGGCAACAAGGGGTGGCAGATTTGAATCCGCGACACAATTTTTGTCATGAAACTGCAACAATGAGAGATGAGTTCGGCAGTTCAGATGGAGCAAGCAGAGGCCTTAAGTGTTTCGAAACAAAAATCCATAACAGCAAAAACAGGGAACAGGAAGTGAAGACATTTGCAGGCAGAATTGTTTAAAAGAAAATCACACCTTTCTACGTTTTTAGGCTAATTTGTTTCACTGGATGTTTTGTGGAAACACCTCTCAAGTGCATCAGAGGGTTCAGGAATGCAGCAAGAACAGAAAATCTATATCACTAACAGACATTTTTGAAGGAGAAAAAAAAAACATGCCCAGCAGCTGTGAACTTACCTCTACTCTCGTTGACCACAATGCAACTTTTGTCACTTGTAAATAATTTGGAATCAAAAATATGCAAGATCAGAAAGTCACAAAATCATTAGAATTTTTTTGTTTCATTTTAATTGTACATATGTGGCAAAATTGTACATTCTTCTTTTAGATAAGTGTAACCCTTCAGAAGGGTGAGACTGTTTCTTCACTACACTGTTTTACCTGTTGGACATCAGATCAGATTTACTGATCAGTAATTTATTTACCCGTTTTGAAAACAGACTCATATATACACCAAAGTGTGAGATCATAAGATTGCAGGGCACCCAATGAAGAAGAAACCAGTTTTGTCTTTTGGACATTTATTACAAAAATAGAACAATTAAATTAAACAGAAAATTGATTTAAAAATAGTAAAAATTACAAACACAAAAGACAAAAATAATAAAGGCTTAGAAAATAGTTTAAAGGGGAGGTATGGGAAGATGCTTAGATTATTTTTTTTAATTTTATTTAGTCAATTTGTTTCATTCATAAAATGAAACAATCTATATACAGTAAAATAAAAAAAGCAAATTATGCCATGAATGAAATGTGTGCAGAATGGAAAAAAAAAAACAACCTTTGTTACTGTAACCCTTTTCTTTTACAGTGCCCTGATTACCATATTATTATCTAGTATTTACATGTAAGTAACATCAATTTACTTGGTAATTAGAGTAATTTACTATGTAATTACTTGGTATAAAAATACAACGTTATTAAAACAATTAGATATTTAGTGGGTAATTTTGATACAATTACAGTTTAATAGTATCTCAATTACACATTATTTGCCAACAGATTACAACATTTTCAGTCACCTAATTACCATGTTATAAAGTAATTACTTAGTCAATTGTTATGTAGTTGAACTAATTTAATTTATAATTATAATAAAATTACAGTTTAATAGTACATCAATTACACAGATTTTACCAACACATTACTAACTAAATGTCCACATAATATATATAAATATAGTCCCTAATTACATCATCATCAAATATTTACTTAGTAAATTATAGTATATTACTATGTTAGTAAAACTACCTTTAGTGGGGAACTACAATCAAGTTACTTTTCAATAGTACCTCAATTACATACTATTAACCAAAAGATTACAAATAAATTTCCACATATTGTTTTACTATGTAATTACAGATAGTTAATGGGTTATTGCAATAAAATAACTTTAACAATGACAAAATGACCTACTATTTATTCATGTGTTACTCAGTGAATTGTAATATTTAACTAGGTAAGGGCTACTGCAGACAAAGAATCTTTTACTTCTTAGATTTTTCTTCATTTATTACCTGCAGGTTTGTACAATGTTTTTATTTAACTGTACATAATCAGCAAAAAAGTACTGCAATATTACCAAGTATCAAAAAACAACATATTACCTGTTAACCAAAGGGAAACGGATTTCTAGAAATAGGACCTTTTCAAGCCACACAAGATAAAATGGATCTTGAAACTAGTTGGTGAAACTCATTCTGAGCAATATTTTACTACCATAGTGAGCTTTTGTGTCTCATAAAAAGCTTGTGATGCTCAAAAGTAGTATCAAACAAACCAAACACAAAAAAACAATAAAGTCAGCTTTTTATTTTCTGTCAGTTGTCAGTGTGTCATTGCACCAGTCAATTCAAACGTATTTCAGTTTCTTTTCAGTGCACTTTGATTCAGGGGATCTTAATCTTCCTCAGTTCCACTGGTATGAGGTGTGTGACACAGTTTTACCCGGGGTGTGTATTTGGTTTCCATCTGCTGCCCATCTATCTGAAAGATAGATGTTCCTGCACCAGGTGTAGTTTCACAGAGGGCATAGAATCTTCTCATGGATCTGAACCGTGGCTCGCCAATGTGGTTTCCACTCACAATCTGGGCTTAACCAAAGAAAAACAACCACCTGCACATGGCAGGAAAAATCTCTGAATTTTGTACAATGTTTTTATCACATAAAGTGACCACATTCTTCTCAACTGTGTAAATTAATTGATTCAGCTACAAAATCAAGAATCTTCTTGGCAGCTTAATAATAAACATGCATTCTAACATCTTAATCTTTGTATGGATTTAACCACAGTGAAGTAAATTCTCATTAATCCTGCTCTTCCTTTAACACAAAACAGTCAATATCTGCAGTTTAATGTCAATGAATAAAAGTATTTTTTATCTGTTCATGAAAGACAGAACAAAGCTAAGCAAATCACCCTGACATAGTCATAATTATCTCTGATTAGTTTTAAACATTCACAAAAGGTAAAACAACACAGTAAGCTACAAGACACTGCTATTTTAGCATTAGCACATTAGCAGGGGCTGATTGCTAGCAGCTATTTGTAACTCACTTGAGATTCAGCTTAACAAATACACGTCCTTACCAAATAATTATATAGTAAATTACATTAAGTACCAAGTAATTGCATAGTAAAGTGTTGTTACTTACCATGTAAATACTAGGTAAAGGCATGGTAAGTAGGGGACTCTAAAAGAAAGGGTTACCGATATGTCTTCCATTAATTCCATGAGAGATATTGATGTTGAATTATTTGTTCCGAACCCATATTGACTATTACTTAAAATGTTATGTTTGTTCATAAAGTGATCTAATCTGATTCCAAATAATTTCTCAAACATTTTTGAAAACTGGCACCAACGATATTGGCCTATAATTTGTAAACACACACTTCTCATTGTTCTTAGAAAGAGGAATTGCTTTAGCTACTTTCATATTGTCTGGAAATATTCCTGTTGAAAATGATAAATATTATGTAAATGTCTCAAATACAGGTCAACTGATACATCGGTTGGAAAATATTTTTGGCCAATATTTGTGGAGGGTTTTTGTATCGTTTCGGCCGATCAATGCCTTTGATCTCGCGAACACATGTATTGCCGCTCCATCCCTGGCAGAGCATGGCTGATAATGTAAGACTGAGTGTCAACAACAAGGGTAAGTGGAGGTACAATGGCTCAGTGTGAGACTTCCTGAAATCTCGCGAGAATTCATACGTCCGAGGAAAAATCTCACGTGACCTCCAGAGAGACGTGAGTTCAGAGTAAATAAACATTCGCAACAAAGAAGAAACAATGTTGATCGTTTGAGGACTATTTTTACCAGAGGAAAAACATTTTCATAGGACTTTTAACATCCAGCAGACTTTCTGCTGAGTCATGACAGTTTGTTTTTTTTTTGTGTTCTGTATTTTGGAATCCCCTCCATGTTTACGTCACCTCGCTTTCTGATTGGCTACACGTCTCATTCATCAGGCTGAGAGCTCGGGTGAACACTACACACACTGTGATATCGGGCCAAAAAATCAAACATGTTGAATATCCTCGATTTGAGGTCGGAGCGGTCCCGACATCCTTCCGAGCCGACTAGATCACTCTTAACTCACCACCCAAGGCAGAAATATTTAGAGCCATCACGATAATCTGGACTGTCGGAAGGGCAAAAATCGGCACGATTTTCTTGTAGTATGATGCTGCCTTATCAGTTTCACCACTGCATTATCTACTTTTGGTATTTTAGCTGAAACACTTGGGCCTACATTTACACAACATTGATTGAATTCATTTACAATTTCATTTTGATTATAAATTTTCTTGTCATCCTTTACAAAGTACATGAAATACACGATTCATTACTCATCGTGTAGCTTTCATATCACCCTTTTGTTTAATCAGTCACTATAATTTTCCTTCTTATGCTTTTTTATAATCCATACCAACTTGTTTTTATATTTCTCATAACTCTCTTTTGCTTCATTTGTTCTTAATTTTATGAAGCATGAATACAAGTAGGCCTTTTTAATCTTATAAGCATTTATTAATCCTTTGGTTATCCATGGTTTGTCAACATTTCTTTTTGCAATTTTTTTGCACACAATTCTTTTTATACAAAGCTCCCCAAAAATTCATAAACACATCATAATGCTCTGTTTACATCATCTACGTACACATCCTTTCAGTTTTTTAAATTGTCTTTTAGTTTGTCCAAATCTTTTTTAATGTATTTATCATTTTTTCTATCCATTGCAGCTGCTTCAACGCTGCCCAGACAGTTTCTACAAATTACAAAAACTGGCAAATGATCACTTATATCAGTCATGAAGATCCCACTCATCACCTCTTCATTCCTTACGTTAGTAAAAATATTGTCAGTCACTGTTGTGTTATAAGTTGTGATTCTTGTTTGTCTGAATATTAGCGGATAAAGATTCAAACTACATATTGAGTTTATAAATGTACTAATATTATTTGAGTCAGATTGTTTTCCCAAATCAATGTTAAAATCCGCGCACATAAAAAAAAGTTTGCATCTCATATCAAAGCTCCATGATTTATCAGTAAATAACTATATATTTGAACCTGGTGATCAATACATTTTCTGATCAAACACTGCAAAAATTACACATCCTAAAATAAGTAATAATATAACAATATACAGTATGTGGCGCCCTACCTAGCAAAGTAGGAACAAGACATTGACGCACAAACCAAGAAAAAAAAGGAAAAAACAATTTTCTAATAAAATAGTTATTTTCGATTTTTTGCTAAATATACTAGTTAAAGCTATGAAGAAACCACCCCATGCTTTAAATAGCAGTTTAGGAGATTTAAAAATGGTAAACTTTGTGTTTTGAATTCAGCCTGTTTTCAGAGTAAGTTAGAGCCGGTCTGCATTTGTGTTTAGGGGATGGACAGACTCACAGCTGATTAACATGCACACTTTGGCTATTGTTGGGGCAAAGAGGGAGAACTCCAGACAGTAGATCTAAGCTCAGCTATGCCATTGTTAAGCATATACAGCGGGTAAAATAAGTATTGAACACGTCACCATTTTTCTCAGTAAATATATTACTAGAGGTGATAATGACATGAAATTTTCACCAGATGTCGGTAACAACCCAAGTGATCCATACATACTGTAGGGGTCACCTCGAGTGAAGAAACAGGAGTTCCAGCCTCAAAGCAGGTCTCGCACAGGCC